TTTACTTGGAATATTCTTTTCCATCCTTTTACCTTAAAGTAGTGCCTGTCCTTGAAGGTGAGATGGATTTCTTGCAGACAGCAAAGAGATGGATTTTCTTTCTTAATCCATTCACTTAGCCTGTGTTTTTTGACTGCGGAGTTCAGTCCATTGATATTTAAGGTTGTTATTGAAAGATGTGTATTGGTTGCCATCATTTTAATTGCTGATTTCGTTCTCTGTCTGATTTCATCTTTCCTAGATTATACCTTTATTGTCTTTTGTTGCCCCTGGAGTATAGTTGTTTCTCGCTCTGCTCTCACTATTGTTTGAAGTATTGTTTGAAGGGCTGATTTTGTGGACATGTATTCTTTCAGGCTATTCATGTCATAGAAGATTTTTCTTTCCCCCTCAACTATAATAGACATTTTTGCTGGGTAAATTATTCTGAGTGGCATCTCTTGTTATATAGAACTGGAAATACCTTAGTCCAGGCTCTTCTGGCTTTCATAGTTTGCATTGATAAGTCAGCTGTAATTCTGTTGGGCTTTCCTTTGTATGTGACTTGTTTTTCTTTTGCTGCTTTCAGTGTTCTCTCTTTGTTCTGTACATTTAGTGTTTTAATGTCATATGTTGTGGGGAGCTTTTTTTCTGATCCTATCTATTTGGTGTTCTATGTGCTTCCTGTATTTGTATGGGGATGTCTTTCCTTAATTTCAGGAAATTCTCTTCTACGATCCTGTTTAAGATCTGGTCAACACCATTAACCTGAAATTCTTCTCCTTCTATTCCTATGATCTGTAGATTTGGTCTTTCACGGTGTCCCACCTCTCTTGCATATTCCATTCCTATGTTTTTTAAAATTTTCCATACTCTTTGCTTGAGTGGTCCAGTTCTTCAACTTTATCCTCCAGTGCTGATATTCTGTTTTCCATTCCATTCATTCTAGAGGTGAGGCTTTCGCCTCTTGTTTCAAGTTGGCTTATTGAGTTTTGCACTTCCTTCTTCATTTCTACCTGAGTTTTCTTCAATGTTTTTATCTCTTTTGTGAATTCATTCAGAAGTTTATCCCTATCTTCTTTTAGCTCTTTGATTTGTTTGTTCGTGTGTTCTTTAAATTCATTGAATTCTAAATTTGTTGAATTCCTTGATCATGTTTATGATTGTTCTTTTAAATTCAGCGTCCTGGTTTATCTCTAGGGGGTTCTCCTTGTAGAACTCTTCTACATGATTGGTGGAGTTTGGTGGGGATATAGTGTTTTGGCTTCCATTTTATTATTCTTTCATTGTGATTTTGGCATGCGAATTTCTTTTGTTGTTTATGATTCTGGTAGAATTAAGTTGAAGTATGCTTCTGTTTGTATTATCGGGGTGCCTAGTTCCTTTATTGGTTATGTAATGCTAGTTGGTACAGGGTTCAGGTTCTCTCAGGTTTAATTTGGAGGGAACTGATGGCTTCTGATCAGCTCTTCAGGAGTACCCACAGAAGCCCAATTCAGGTTCCAGTCAGGTACACTCAGGCTTCCTTCACCACATGGAGGCAGGATCCAGGGGCTCTCAGGCAGTCCCCTCCATTCTCAGGCCTTCCGCCCCAGGGAGGCCAGAATTGGGCAGTCTCTGGAGGTCTGCTGAGATCAGAACCGCTACACTGATGGAGGTCTGAACCCACCTTCTCAGTCTGTCTGCTAGGATTTCAGCCTTAGCCTACCAAAGCCAGATCTGCCCTGGGCCCTTGACAGGGGCCTCAGGAAATCCCAGGTAGGGGGGTGGGGATGGTACAATTAGAGGAAGCTCACCACCAGGAGGAGGCAGGATCCAGGGGCTCTCAGGCAGTCCCCTGCGTTCTCAGGCCCTCTGCCTGAGGGAGGCCCCAGGGAGGCCAGAACTCAGCATTCTCTGGAGGTCTCCTGAGATCAGAGCTGCTACACTGATGGAAGTCTGAACCCACCCTCCTAGAATATTTTTCATACATATTATGTAATATATGTTAGCTTACAGAATTTTCTATTTTTCTTGTAAACATGCTTTGTTAATCTAAGAATCTGTTTTTACTTATGGTTTGAGTGGACATTTGTCAAATTAAACTGTCAGTTTTTCTTTATGATATTAGAAATGTACTTATGGTTATAAACTTAGATTGTCCAGATTATGCTATAATGTATTGCTTTGTATAAATAGAACTGTTCTGAATCCTGTCTTGAGAGTTTAAGGTATTACAGAATTAAAAGAACTTTATAAAATTATTTTACTAGTGTAGTCTCATCACAAGGACCCTGAGGGGAGTAATTAAATGATTGAATAAATTTCAGATCTATTATATACTTAATGATTCTACTTAGTTATTAAAACTACTAAGTATGTTTCTTTGTTTTTTGAGAGGGGGTTGTACAGCCCAGGCAGAACTCAGACATGGGATCCTCCTGCCTCAGCTTCTAGAGGGTTGGGATTATAGGCTTGCAGTACTGCTCCTGACCTACTGTGGGTATATCGCATTGATTACATAGATACAGAAATAGTAATGTCATCAGGGATGCAAATAATGCCTGTGTCACACTAGAGACTTGTAATTCTGCCTGTGATCACCAGATGTCTCTCTCCCTCTACTCTATGATATAGGCTACTGTTTGTGTGGTTGGGGAGGTTTTTTTAGTGTTTATGTTCCTGAGGATGAACCCAGGGCCTTGTGTGCTCTAGGCTAGTGCTTTACCTCTGAGGTAAACAGCAAGCCTTTAAGACTACTTACAAGTATCAAGCAAATTAAACTAATCTTTTTATCTATACTTTTTACTACTCTGTTTTAGCTCTTTTTGTTTTGTTTTTTGTTTTTGGCACAGAATCTCCCTTTAGTCCCAGCTGACCTGGCAGTACATAGACAGGCTGACCTCCATCACACAGATCCACCTGCCTCTCTGTCTCCCAGGTACTAGAAGTAAAGGAATGTGCTACCACATCCAGCTTTATTTGTTTGTTTTTTAATTTAATTTTTTAAATTATGTGTCTGAGGCTGGAGAAATGGCTCAGCAGTTAAGAACACTGTTCTTGCAGAAGACCTGGCTTTGAATCCCAGCACCCACATGGCAGCTAACAACTGTCCGTAACTCCAGTTCCAGGGGATCGAACAGCCTCTTCTGTCTTCTGCAGGCATTGCACAACACGGGTGCACTTACCTATATGCAGGCAATGCACGCATACACATAAAAATAATAAATATTTTTTTAAAAATTATGTGTGTGTGTGTGCTTGTGGTCACAGAGGCCAGAAGGTTTCAGATCCCTGGAACTAGAGTTACAGAGAATTGAATTCAAGTCCTTTAAAAGAGCAGTACACTGTTAACTGCAGAGCCATTCCTTTGCAGTGTTAATCCATTCCTCAGTGATCCCAAAATCTATATTATATACCACACTTACTCTCAAGGTCAAATTCTCTTCATCATGACTCAGGATACCTTAAAAAATCATTCCAATGGGCCGATGTTTTCCTGTCTCAAAGGAATGGTATTACCATCTCATCAGGTGTCCAAGCAACTTGGGTATCTCCTTTGATCTTCTTTGATTGTGTTTTTTGAGGCAGGGTTTCATTCTTTAGCCCACACTGTCCTCATACTCTTGGCAGTCCTCCTACTTTAGCGTCCCCAGTGCTGGGATTAAGCGTCAGCAACCACCCTGGCTTTCTTTATGTTCTTCATCTTACTCACCTAATAGATTTTCAAGCCCTCTGAATTTTACTTCTTAAATTTGTCTCTGTTTTTGTTTTGTTTGAGGCATGCTCTCATATTGCCCAGGCAAGCCTTGAACTCCTAATCCTCCTGCCTTTACCCCCATCTAGGGGGTATTACAAGTGTCTATCACCATACTCAGCTACTTCTTAAATATCTCTTGAATCTTTTTCCATTAGTTTCCTCTAGTCTAACTGCCGTTATCTTTTTCTAGTGTCGTTCCAGTACAGTCTCCAGGCTGTAACCAGAATGATATTTAAAACACAAAATTTGATGCTGTTAATTTCCTTATAAATGTAGTCATCTTAAGACAATTAGATATAAAAGATTTTATAATTTTTTTATGTGTATGCATGTATTGCCTGTGTGTATGTAAGTGCACCTGTGTCGTACATTGCCCTCAGAGGACAGAAGAGGCTGTCGAATTCCCTGGAACTGGAGTTACAGACAGTCGTTGTTAGCTGCCATGTGGGTGGTGGGATTCGAACCTGGGTCTTCTGCAAGAACAATCAGTATTCTTAACCACTGAGCCATCTCTCCAGTCCCAAGATTCTATTCTATAATCTTTCTTTTTTTTTTTTTTTTTTGGTCTTTTTGAGACAGGGTCTCACTGTAGCCCCAGCTGACCTGGAACTCGCTATGTAGACCAGGCTGGCCTCGAACTCACAGAGATCAGCCTGCCTCTGCCTCCCAAGTGTCTTAATTAGGACATTTATCCTTCCTGTTGTCTTTGTCTCACTGTTCATGAAGCTGTAACTCCTTGAGATCAGGAACTTTGTTCTATATGCCTTTTCACTCAGGATTTTTAGCACATGCATTTGAGAAATATATGATGAATAAGTGATATATTTTATGTATACTCTTTCTCTTTAAAAGTAGAATTTTTCTAGCCAGATATTAATGCTACATGCCTGTAATCCCAGCATTTGGAAGACTAAAGCAGGACAATCTCAAGGCCAGCCTGGGCTACATAGTGAGATCCCATCCTTAACAACAGTAAAATTTGTGTGTCTTTCTTACAAGGTGATAATGAGCTAGACCTGGTGGTACTGGCCTTTAATCTCAGCGACTCACGAGCCTGAGGCAGAAGGCTCCAAAGTTCAAGGCCTGCTTGGGCTACAATGTGAGTTCAAAACCAGCTAAGACAACTTAGTGAGACCCTGTCTCAATACAAAATTCAAAGGGCTGGGGATTTACCTCAGTGGTGGAATGATTGTGTACCCTTGTGCAAGGCCTGAGGTTCACTCCCCAGTGCCAAAAGATGATAACAAGCACCTTTAATAAGTATCATAATTTCTTTTTGCAGAAAAAAATTATCCCAGGAATATCAAGTAAACCAAAGCAGGATGATGGTGGGCGGATGGCAGCTCGAAACCGGCTAGCTGCCATAAAGAACGCAATGAAGGAGAGACATAAGCAGGAGGAGCACACAGAAGCGGCGGCTGCAGAAAGACCGAAGGAAGTTGACAAAATAGTGTTTGATGCTGGATTTTTCAGAGTTGAGAGTCCTGTTAAATCATTTTCAGGTTTGTTTTTCCACTGAGGCTTAAGAGAAATATTTGGGCTAAAAGGGGACTGTGTAAAAGGTGAAAAATAGCTTTCACATGAAGAGATATAAGTACACTAATCTGAGAAAATAGACCGTGCTGACTTAAACCCATGTACAGATCACATTTTGATGGCTATGATCAGATTGATTTGAGCATGGTTTTGTCTTCTAAGCTCACTTTTGTATTTCCCAAGTGATTTCACAGCTGTTACTACTTTGTAACCTTTCAGACCGTAAGGTCAGAAGACAGGCTCCTAAGCGGAAGGGATGATAATGGAAGTAAACAATTTTTTTTCCCAGATCATTTACAGATTAGATTAGAATAAGATGCAAAGGCGATTGGACTTCAACTTCACTTCCCTAAGCTGTGCTTTTAAAATAACCTCATGGAACTGGAGATGTAGCTTAGTTGGTAGAGTGCTTGCCTAGCATGCAAAAACCTTGGGTATGGTGGTACAGGCCTGTAATCTCAGCACTTGGAATGTGGAGGCAGGAGGATCAGAAGTTCAAGATCACTCTTGGCTATATATTAAGTTGAAGGCCAGCCTGGGATGCATGACACCTGTCTCAAATAAATAAAGCTTCTAGAAAGCTTTTTGTTGTTTTGTTTAAAGCTTTTGGATTTTTTTTTTTTTTTTTTTTTCGGTTTTTTTGAGAAAGGGTCTCCCTATACCACCCGCTGGCCTGGAACTTCTTATGTAAACAAGGCTGGCCTCGAACTCACAGAGATCCACCTGCCTCTGCCTCCCAAGTGCTAGGATCAAAGGTATGTGCCACCACACCCAGCACATTTATTTATTTTTACCTTATTTGTGTAAGTGTTTTGCCTGCATGTATGTAAGTGTACCTATGTCACACAGTGCCCACAGAAGAAGGCATCAGATCCCCTGGAACTGGAGTTAGAGCTCTAGTTGTTAGCTGCCATGTGGGTGGTAGGAACAAAACCCGGGTCCTCTGCAAGAGCAGCCAATACTCTTTTGAAAGGCAGTAAATGAACTCATTTTCCAATTAAAAAATATTCTAGCAGCCAGGCGTGGTAGTGCACGCCTTTCATCCCAGCACTTGGGAGGCAGGGGCAGGTGGATCTCTGTGAGTTCAAGGCCACCTGGTCTACATAGTGAGTTCCAGGCCACCTGGGGTACAGGGAGACCCTGTCCCAAAAAGACCAAAAAAAAAAACTCTAGCAAAACCAGCTTTTGATACTTTAGGAAGCCATTCTTTTAGTTTTCTGTTTTTCAATAGCTATTTTGATTAGTTTACTTTTGATTACACTAAATGTCATTATCAACTGAAATTATTCATAAGTTATAGATGTCCACTAGAAAATTTTCTAAAGATAAACTACTTATTTCTAATACATATCTGATTTTTTTTTTTTTTTAAACCAGGGTAACCAGCTGGGGTGTGGTTTTGTTTTTTTCTACTTTGAAAGGCTACTCTCTCTAGATACCCTCAAATCTCCCACTATGATTAACAACATGGGCTCTGGATACTTTTCAAGGACTTTAGTGGGTTTCTTCATCTACAAGCTGATCACTCTATTCCATCTCAGTCCTTATGGATAGAGAAGTTTGTGACAAAAATTGGCCTTTTTAAAATTGAGTTTCAGTTACATTGCACATAGTTTATATGCAGCTAATAACAAATCCCTAGCCCTGAAGAAGTTCCTCTTCTCTCATTTGCTGATCCCTGGAACCAACCACTTTCAGATCTCTTGAAGTCTTCTATTATTTAACCCATTTCTCTTAACAAAGTTGGATTTTTTTTCTTTTTTTTTTTCAGAAACAAAAGTTCTAGTTTAACTGTTCTCCTTCCTGTTCACTGTTTTCATCTTCCTGGGGAATTTCTTCCGCTTTCATCCTGGCTATCATATTTTTAATTCCTAAGAGTACTTGTAAGCGCTGAATGAACCATTTTCTAGCAGTAAGTGCACTGTCTTCCTTTCTATGGTTATTGATAATGTCATGGATCTGAGTTCAGAGGGCATTCACTGGTGTCCAGGTTTTAGTATCCCAAGACAAAGGATTGTACTAGAGACACGTGATTGAAATAGACTGTTTAGAAAAACACCCCCTGAGAACAGGAGTAAGCCAGTGAGCTGGAAAAAGGCCTGCGCTCATAAAGCACTGGGCCAGGAAGAGGCTCATGACCTGTTATAGGTCACATATATAGCATCTGACTTCTCTTGTGTTTATATAGCACAGGCTTTTTTGGACATATGGCTCTGTTTAATAAAGGTAGTTCAAGTAGCTTTTCAGTCTCTCTTTGTCTCTCTCTGTCTCTTTTTTTCTTTTTTTTTATGTCAGCTGACTTTTTTATGTTAATCTTGCTGCTGCTCTCCACTGCCCCTACTCTCCTGCCATAGTACTATACTACTTTATGGTTTCTTCCCTAATGTAGTCCATATTGGTTTCAAGATATTTTTGTTGTTTCAAGACACTTTGATCTGTGTGGTTTTTTTATTTCTGTCCCTTCACATCAAGATAAATCCATTGTATTTGAAGCTTTCCTTAGGAATTTGACCTTTACTACTTGCTCATGGTTAAGAATGGAGTGCTGGCTGGGCCCAGTGCTGGTGACCTATCCTTGTAATCCCATTATTTGAGAGGTAGGGGCAGGAGGATCAGGAGTTCAAGGTCATTCTGGTTACATGGAGATTAAGGCTAGCCTGGACTATTAGGACACCCTGTCTCAAAAATACAAAACAAAAAGAACATGATACTAGAGTACTAACCAACTGACTACAACCTCTCTGTATATAAGTGGTCTTTACTGTGAGTGTGACGCAGCTGAGCTGTTGTTCTGGAAACATACATCACTGTGTTTTTTTGCTGATTTGTCTGCTTGTTTATTGAAAGTCTGAGGATCAGACTCAACTTCACATATGCTAAGCAAGTACTGTATCACTGTACTGTATCCTCAGCCCTTTTCTAGTTTTTCTCTTTCAAGACAAGATCTTACTAAGTTACCCAGACTGTTGCTGAAATTATTCTATAGCCCAGCAGGCCTAGAACTTGCTGTGATCCTCCTGCCTCAGCCTTTTGAAAGGCTAGGATGATAGGCTTATACTACCAGACCAAGTTTCACACTACTGCGTTTATATTTTTTCCTTTATAACTCAGATTCTCCAGAGATTATTTTCTTCTTTAAAAAAAAAAAAAAAATATTATTATTCTAGGTCATGCAATGCCTGTGGAAGTTAGAAGATGGCATGGGATCTCCTGGAATTGGAGTTGTGGGTGGTTGTTAGTCACCAGGTGGGTGCTGGGAACCAAACATTGATAATTTCATGGATCTGAGTTCAGAGGGCATTCACTGAAGTGTCCAGGTTTTAGTCTCAAAATACATATATACATATATATATTTATATAGTTATTTTATGTGTATGAGTATTTTGTCTGCATGTATGTAAGTGCATCCGTTTTGTGAAATGTCCAAGGAAGCCAGAAGTGGGTGTGAGAGCCCCTGGAACTGGAGTTATGGACGGTTGTTAGCCACCATGTAGGTGCTGTGACCCAAACCTAGTTCCTCTGCAAGAGCAGCCAGTGCCCTGTATTGCTGAGCCATCTCTCCAACCCCAAGATTATTCTCTTTACCTCCTGCTCAGACTGGCTACTAACCATTCAGTTGCCACAAAAAGGAAAAACCTGAGTATCTTAACAGTTTATTTGTAAATGCTCTCTATTTTCCATGTACTAACTCATCTTTCAGCTGTATCTAGTATCCTCTACACCAGAGGTAGGTCCTCTGTTTCACCTTTTTCAGGAACTGTGCTTCTCTGGTTTGGATTGGTGGAAATGTTGGCATTTGTTCTGCTGTGCAGAATGAGCAAAGGAATTTGTTCTAATTGTTCTTTTAAATTGAGTTGAAACTATTGCTTGTAGCTTCATTTTCACTTCTACATAGAAATTGGGTTGACACTCTTCTTTCCATAGTATTTCCGTAGGCTTAGAATTCGTGTGATTGGTTGGCTAAGGAGTATCTCACTTGGCAATTTGCATTATAGCTTCTGAGATATTCTTACTATTGTGTTTTATCAACCTGTAGCGTTGCGTCTTCCGAGACCAATTCTGTAAGTAGGAGTGGGATATCAAAGTGAAGCAAAGTCTAATGTGAGGACTCTCTTTTTAATAGAAAGTCCCCAGCACTTGACTTGAACAAACATTGACAAGAGAAAGAGCCTCATTAGTACAGTTTGCACTGGCCTCCTGATTATAAAGAAAAAGAAATGAAAGAACTCTTTGACATTGATGTTATATTTTTCATCCTCTAGTACTTTCTTCTGAACGTCGTTCTCAAAGATTTGGAACACCTAAGTCTGGCAGCAAAGTTGTACCTGAGAGCAGGGCTAAAGTGGACCTTCTAAGACAGAGGATATCACCAGAGAATCCTGATCCTCAGAGTAACGAAACTGAACATATTGCTAAGATTTTGTTTTCAAACGCTCTTAAAAGCAGGTATTTCGTTAATATGCACTAAGAGTTTAATGATGCTGATATTATTATTTCATGTTGTCAAGCTGGTAAAATGTGGCATGTGGTAAAATGTTCATATGTGACCCCATAATATGTAAGCAAGACTTTTTTAAAAATTTTTTTATTTTATATGTATGTATGTGTTGCCTGCATGTAGGTAAGTGCACCTGTGTCGCACAATGCCCGCGGAGGACAGAAGAGGCTGTCAGATCCCCTGGAACTGGAGTTATGGACAGTTGTTAGCTGCCTTGTGGGTGCTGGGATTCGAACCCGGATATTCTGCAAGAATAGTCAGCGTTCTTAACCGCTGAGCCATCTCTCCAGCCCAGCAACACTCTTCTTTAAAGATAAAACTAAGACTTAAGATTTCAGGTTGGAGCAGGTGTATGGTATATACTTGTAGTCCTGTTTACTTAGGAGGCTGAGGTGGGAAGGTCACTTAACCCTGTCTCAAAAGATTTGAAGTTGATAAATGGTCATGTTTAGATAGACAAAGTATACTTTCCAATACTGTGAAGAAAAAAGCAATATGGTATCCTTTGGTGCTAAAAGATCTGAGCTCAAAAGCAGCTGTATGACTTGCTGAAACTTTGAGAAAAGTTCATTAACCCACTTCCTCATCTGCAGAATGGCAGTACTGGTGATGCTTTGCTCCTTCCAGGAGACTGAGAGGTACATACTTCTGACCCAGTTTTTTTACAAAGTATCTTGAGGTCACCATCTTGACAAATGGCAGAGTATATTAGAAAGGAGAGCCCATGTGTGCTGACAACCTAGACATGATTTTAACTAATTAGGTCACTTCTAATCCAATCCAGACCAGAGATTGGCATTTGTTCTTCTGTGCAGAATGATCAAAGGAATTTGTTCTAATTATTCTTTTAAACTGAGTTGAAACTATTGCTTGGAACTCATGTAGACCAGATTGGCCTTGAACTCAGAGATCCACCTGCCTCTGCCTCCCAAGTGCTGAAGAGTATATTTTTTAAGCCAACTTTGGAAAGATTGAGATTAAATATTTTATTTATTTGTGTGTGGGAATGTGCATGCATGCAATGCAGTAGCCTATGTATGAAGGTCAGAAGACAACTTTCAGGAGTCAGTTCTCTTCTTCCATGTGAGTTCCAGGGGTTAAACTTCCCTACATAACCATCCTGTCCACCCTTGGAGAAATTGAAACTGATTATTGTCTTAATATTTTTAATTAGCATGTAAAGAAATGAGTTTCATTATTTGCTTTTGTTTTTTTTCTTTTTTGGGTAGTGCTGGGAATTGAACACATGGCCTCAACACTCTACAGCTGTCCTACTTCCCAGCCCTGTACTTTGTTTTTCTCTGCCCTTCCCACCTCCAACATATCCCCATAGGTCCTGGGCATAAAACTCAGGTTCTTAGACTTGGCAGCAGTTGCCTTTACCCACTGAGCCATCTTACCAGACCCAACTTAAAAACTTTGATTATGATGTATTTTATCATACCAACAAGTAAATGTGCCAACTCGGAGGAACATGGAGAGCCGGACCTGGGCCACATAAAACTCTGTCTCACAAAAACAAAACAAAGTAGCCAAGTCTAGCCACACAATAGCTGAGTTCTTTGCTCCAGAAGCCAGCTTCATCTTGACCTTTCCTTAGTATGTGACTCTGAATTTGGCTAAGTTTTGTTTTGTTTTATTTGGTTTTAAGATAGGGTTTTCCTGTAGCACTGGCTACCCTAGAACTTGCTATATAGACCAGGCTAGCCTTCATCTCACAGAGATTCACCTGCATCTGTCTTCCCAATGAATGCTGAGATTAAAGGCATGGACCACAATGCTGGGCTTTGCTCAGGTTCAGCTATTACTGATAGAGTCATATTAGCCTTAGTGACTGGCATGGTAAGGGGCTTGTGAGCTTTCAGGGGAAGAATGTATCATTTGTAAGACCATCATACAATAGTTGTAATACAGCTCAGGCAGGATCTTGGCTCAGTCTCCATCTTTGACCCCATTATGTAAATTAGCACCCTCCATAAAGGACAGGCAAAACCAAGTCAAATGACAATATATATAATTATTTGAGTCTAATGCTGCTGTTTGTTTCAGGTACAGGAGAGTAGAAGAGGCTCAGTGTCCTGGATTACAAGATTTAATTGACATAAACCACGTAAGTCATATTCCAAGGGGATAGATTGCCAAGAATATCATCTATTTATAGGTAGTAATTCCATAAAAGAAAAAATAGCTGGGTGTGGTGGCTCACGCCTTTAATCCCAGCAGTTGGGAGGCAGAGGCAAACAGATCTCTGTGAGTTCAAGGCTAGCCTGGTCTACATAGTGAGTTCTAGGTCAGCTGGGGCTACAGGGAGATGGTGTCTCAAAAAGGCAAAAGAAAAAGAAAAAAGAAAGGGCTGGAGAGTTGGCTCAGTGGTTAAGAGCACTGGCTGTTCTTGCAATGTCCCCACATGGCAGCTAACAGTGTTCGTAACTCCAGTTCTTGGGAATCTGATGCCCTCTTCTGGTCTCTGTGGGCATTGTATGACATGGGTGTACTTACATACATGCAGGCAAGACACTGATACACATAAAATAAAAATAAATTAAATATTTTTTAAAATATCTTAGTTTTATAAAAGAAAAAATTTCTTTTGGCAATCTAAATCATACAAAATGATAATTCTGTATGGCTAATAATTCTAATAATTCTTGGATTGTTTGAAACCATAGCTCTTTGTGTTCATCAGCTCACATCAAGACGAATATAGAAGCAGTGAACCAGAGCAGAGATCAACAGTCTTTGGTCTTTTACTTTTTAATGTAATGGATGCTGAGAATCAAACTCAGGTCCTCTGCAAGAGCAGCAAATGTACTTAACCACTGAGGCATTGCTCCAACCTCCTGGCCTTTATTTTTTTTTCAATTCCCAGAGCCCCTGTAAAGGTAGAAGGATATAACAATTCCACAAAGTTGTCCTCTGACCTCTTTATGCATTCCCACACACATCATGCACACACAATACAAACTCTTTTAAGATTTTTTTTTTAAATTATTTGGTCAGGTTATGTGCACATATGAATGCAGCATCCTTCAGAGTCCAGAAGAGAGCACTGGATACCCTGGAGCTGGAGTTATAGGTGATTGTGAGCCTCCCGGTGTGGGTGCTAGGAATCAAAGTCAGGTCCCCTGCAAGAACAGTACACATTCTTAACTGCTAGGCCATCTCTCCAGACTCAAAATTTTTGTTCAGTTGAAAATATTTACTTTCTGGGATGGAGAAATGGCTCAGTGGTTAAGAGCACTGACTGCTCTTGCAGAGGACCCAGATTCAATTCCCAGCACCCCACACGGTGGCCAGCAACCATCCGTAACTCCAGTTCCAGTGGATCTGATGCTCTCTTCTGACCTCTGTGGACATATTTACTTTCTGGGGACTGAAGAGACAGCTCAGTAGTTAAGAGCACTGGGTTCTCTTGCAAAGGACTGAGGCTCGGTTCCAAGTACCCACATGGTGGCTAACAGCAGCCTATAACTCCAGTTCTAGGGGCTCCAACATCTTCTGGCCTCTATGGGCACTGGGCACACATGTGGTGCACATATATACATACAGGCAAAACACTCATACTCAAATAAATCTCAAGAATTAAAAAATATATATATTTACCTTCTAGTCCTTTACAGAACATGTTTGCCAGTGTTTGAACTGGAGTGTAGGTACTTTGTGAGAAACGTACCTTCATTCCTGTTAATTCTATATTATCTGGATGAGTTATAAAGCATGGAGTTTTTTAGACTTTTTAAAATGTCAATCATTTGTTTTTCTTATATTTAATAACAAGAATTTTTTCATTTGTTCCAGTTTTGGGTAATTATGTAATAATGGCCATTTTTACCTCCAGGATGTAAATAAGATAAATCTCAAGGTGGATTCTTTGCCCAGTGAAATAAGGAGTCTGCCTCCTCTTGCTGGTATACCAGATGATATTAATACTACCCAAAAAGCAATTTTACATGTTTTGGAAGGAATGGACCAAAATTATTCAGTCACTTCCAAGGATGTTTTGATGAGTAGTCCTGAAAAAGACATCCCATCTCAAAATAGCATCTCACAAGAAACAGCCAAAACTTCCCTGTCAGGTAAGATCTAAGCTCCATTGAAACTTTGATAAAACATAAACTTAGTAAAGATTTTATATATATAATTCTCAGTCCCAGAAACTGAGTTCCAGTTTCTAACAATGAAGGCTGAGATATTAGAGGTGGGCTGGGTGTGGTGGTGCACACCTTTAATCCTATCACTCAAGAGGCAGAAGCAGGTGGATTTTTGTGAATTCTAGGCCAGCCTGATCTACATAGTGAGTTCCAAGCCAGCCAGGACTACATAGTGAGATCATATCTCAAAAAAAGATATTAGAAGATGACTATAAATATTTCAAACTAGTTTAAGAACCCTCTTGCCCTTCAGCCAGGCATGGTGGGACATGCCTGTAATCCCAACAAGTACGACACAGAAGCAGCAAGATCACTCTTACTCGAGAACAGTTTGTCCTACATACCAAGTTCCAGGCCAACCAGAACTGTAGAGAGAGACCCTGCATCAAAACAGAGCACCTGCTCTTATGAGGAGACCTAGTAAAAATCAAGAGCAAATACCAATCCACCCTTGATATAAGGAGCATTTCACATCAGACCTGTTTGAGATCCTCAGAAAAATTCAAGTATTTCAGTTCTTTTTTTCAGCCCATATCCCCCAAACTGTCTTCAAAATATCATGTCTCTCATCTCTAATGTCCATTACTATCTACTCTGTTGTGATTATTCTATAAGAGGGTCTTATGTTTTTGTTACAATATAGAGTATGCCTGTTGTCCTCAGCTACTCTCTAGGTCCGTCTGTGACCTAAGGTAAAATCTTAAAACTATGGACAGACATTTATTTAATGTATTTAGTATCTTTTACCTGGCCTTTTTTTTTTTTTTTTTGAGATTTATGCTGGCTATATTGCCCAGGCTAGTCTCACTTGTGATCCTCCTGCTTCAACCACCAAGTGCTGGGATTACAGGTGTATGCCACATTTGGTCTCTACTGATTCTTTATCAGCATGTTTGGGTACTTGTTTATAGAAGATTTTCTTTGTACTAAAATTAAGGGTAAGAATTTTACTTAGGAATTTAATTACATTAAAACAATATAGCAGCTGCTGGGCATGGTGGCACACGCCTTTAATCCCAGCACTAGGGAGGCAGAGGCAGAGGGATCTCTGGGTTTGAGGCCAGCCTGGTCTACACAGTGAGTTCCAGGCCAGCTGGGGCTTCAGGGAGACCCTGTCTCAAAAAGACCCAAAATATATATATATGGCAGAGCCAAGAGTAGTTTTGTCTTAGCATTTGCTATGTAAAACCTGTCCTGTCTTTCAAAGCTTTGTCCATTTCCAACAAACCTCGACTGGAAGAATATTCTTTTAAAAAACTTTTGTTTGTTTTTCAGTGCCATTTGGTAAGAGTCTCACTACTGAATGCTACCTTCTTGATTCAGTAAGTTTTCCATTTTAATTTGACAAGTTCCTTTACACGCTAGATCTGTATATTTTTGTTAAGTTTTTAAAATTTTTAATTTATTGTTACTGAGTGAGAGTATGGGTATGTGTGCCACAGCACATGTGTAGAGGTCAGAAAATAACTTTCAGGAGTCAGTTCTCTTCATCCACTGGGGCTTCCAGAGATCAAACTCAAGTCATCAGGCTTGGGCAGCAGGCGCTTTTACCTGCTGAGCCCTCTCACCCACCCTGCTTGTTTGGTTTTGAAATAGGGTCTTGTTATAAAAACCAAGCTAGCAAATGCCCTCATCTTCCCAATCCTCTTAGTACTGGGATTATGAGTATGTATCACTATGCTCACTGTTCAATTTGTATACAAGGTTTAAAATTATGTCCTGATAATGTTTGTGCTTTCAAAATATTTATTATTCATTGTTCTAGAAATAGAGAAAAGATTTCCACATTTATAGTCTCTAAAATATATTTTAGTCTTAAGCACTAAAAATTTATCTTGAATATGATCTATGTTCCAAATTTGATATGACAAATATCCTGTGGCTTGTCTTATGCTATGTGTTTCTAAATGATGTAAAAACAATACAAGGTAAGACAAGGCTTCTGCTTTTCTGAACTGTACCAGAGGCTTAGGTAGTATCTATCCTTCCTCAGTCATCCTTAGTTATTTTCACCCTAATTCTTTCTTTATTTGTTTTGAGACAAGGTCTCCCTGAAGACCCAACTGGCCTAGAACTCACTTCATAGACCAGGCTGGTCTTGATCTCACAGATACCTGCCTGTCTTTGCCTCCCAAGTACTGGAATTAAAGCCACGCACCACCACGCCCAGCACCATCCTAATTCTTTTAGACTAGTATTGTTTCACCCATTCCAGGCTACTTTTGGTGAACTCTTGCTTTTAAATTTAGTTTAAACATTACCCCTCTGTGAAGTCCTCCTATAAAACTCTTTTCCCTGTTAATGTAGAAATACATACATAGGTATAGCATGTATACACTTAATTTCTTATTAAGAGCATAATACAAATTATTATATTTCTAAAATATACTGGTTTCAGAAATCTAATTCTCTTAGTGACTGTAAACTCATTAGCTTTCTGATTCATGCCATTGATGGCAGTACTGTGACATGAATAGAGTGGTTCTCTTTCCTACTGAGTGTGTATAGTTTTGGTTTTGGCCTACCTCTAGACACCTTTATTTCAATGACCTGGAGTAGGACTTTGTCATCTTTTCTTTTGTCCGGTGATTCTAATGTAGCTGAGGTTAAAACCTTTGGTTTGCAGGCTTTTTTTTTCTTAAAAAATTTTCAGGGCCAAATGTTAGAATGACTTGAGAAACAACCTTGGTTTCCTAATCTTGAATCTCAGAATATAAGAAATTCATAGGCCTGGCAAGATGGCTCAGTCAGTAAAGCACCTGGTGCTGAGCCTGACCACCAGAATTTACTCCTCTGAATTCAAGCAGTGAGGAGAGAGCCAACTTCTGCAAATGGTTCTCTCACCTCCCTGTTCTTGTGCACGCACACACAAGTAATGAATGTAAAAAGACTACAAAAAAGGATTCATGAAAGTACACGTAGGATAAACTGCAACAGATAATCGCACCCTTTAAGCCACTAATTCCTTAAGGATCTTTGTGTATCTTGGCTTTGTTACCTTTCAAAACTACCTTCCGTGTGGTCAGACTCCAGCTGCCCTATGTGACTGTGACTCACATATTGTTCCTTCTTAGTCTCGGCCTTCTTTACTCATAAACGGAGGCTTAGATCAGGGTCTTCAGCATAAGGCCAATTTGTATAATCAATCGGATTTAATCCTGTCCCCACATCTGAACTCTGAATGACTGGTTCTGAATATTTGAGTCAATCTGGAAATTATTCTGCCTTTAACATCTGCAATAAGATCAAAAGTGCTTCATAGTTATATATTGTCTCATTGTTACTCTCAGTGTTTTAGATTTTCTGTGATTTTTATCCCATTTCCATAAATATTAGACTTTGAAATACTAAAGTCCACCTGTCTGACTAGGCCCAGTAGCATTATTTAAAACTGAAGTAGGGCTTGACTGGGGGAAATTAAAAGGGTCCCAGAAGGATCACATTCTGGTAGAAAGTCCATTAAAGCTGTTACATGGTTTAAGATTGTGGAATCTACGTAAGCGAATTAAGCTAGGCTTCAGTTTTACTCATCCTGTACATGCTATCTAAGTCCATTTACAAACTAATCTTATCTTTTTAGGCATAAATTCATAGTACACCTTTTCAGCTAAAGATTACTTAAAAGTAGGTCTGCTCAAAAGGAGCATAAAAATTATATTAGTTGTATTGTTACATAGGGAAACTGTTATTAACATAATTAACTACAGTGTTGAAGATTTATTTGGAGAAACTCTTAGTTAATTCAGTGATTTCTCTGAATTTGTTCTTTAGCCAGGACAGAGCCACAGTAATCCCTGCCCTCAGGTGGAAAGCAGACATCAAGTTCATGCCAGAAATTTCTCCTTCGGTGGTGACCTCATCGCCTTCTCACCACTAAGGCCTCTCAGTAGAGAACAGCCACACTGTTAATGCTGTGATATATTTGTAAACTGTTGGAAATTGGAGAATATGCACTTGCATTCACTTCTGTTCAGTCCATTTACATTGTATTGCATAATGTTTTAATATTCAGTGTTAGATTAAAACATATTTTAGGTGTACTATTTGTTAACGGATATTTCAGGTTAATTTAAACATTAAACTTTGACAAAAATACTTGTATTTGGACTCCTGTATTTGTTGACATCAAGCAACTTTAGGTTCCTAAATTCCTTTAGATCTGGATTGTGAGTTCCATGCTGCGGTTTCAGATGGCTACAGCATTAGAGATGCCCATTCGATCCTTGCTGCTGCTTCTCATTCTCCAACAGGTCCAGCTACCCTTGACAGACATGTCCTTCTCATGAAAAGAATTGTCACTGTGTGGTCGCACCAGCTGGGACCCACGTGGTAGGGTTTTAATAAACAAAACAATGCTACAGAATAGCAACACCAGGATGACTCGGTAGCAGATGTCAATAACCAGGTCTGTTTTGTTAGCTTGGTCTGAAAATGAGCTGGGGATCAGAAGGAGGCAGTCACAAAAGAAGTAGGAACTTTATAGGTAAACTTTTAAGATTAGGCATTTGAGGGGGCTGGAGAGATGGCTTAGGGGTTAAGAGCACTGGCTGCTCTTGCAGAGGACCTGGGTTTGGTTCCTAGCACTCATGTAGCAGCTAACAACTGTCCATAACTCCAGTTCCAGGGGATCTGACGCTCTCTTCTAACCTTTACAAGCATCACTCATACATATAAAATAATAATTTTTTTTTTAAGAAGATTAGGCATTTTCAAATGAGAGAATACATCTAATGTCAGGGGAAGATGTGTTAGGCTTTTGGGAAACGTGGTGTTTATTATCAAGTCAGGATACTTATTGGGAGGTTATATAACATGTTTTCGAAGAAGAATGTTCTCAGAATGCCTCCCAGAATTACCAAATGATGAACTTACATTTAACAGCCCACTAGTGAATAGTGTAAGCATTGTAGAATAATAGGTAAAAATTCTGACATTGTCTTTTTTTGGGGGGTGGGGTCTTTTTGAGGCAGGGTCTCCCTGTAGTCCCAGCTGGCCTAGAACTCACAGGGATCTGCCTGCCTCTGTCTCCCGAGTGCTGGGATCAAAGATGTGAACCACCACGCCCGGCTCTGACATTGTCTTAATCGTTGAGCTTGCTGGTAATAGGAAAGTCTTAGTTATAAGAATGTTGACAATGGGGAAAAATTTAATTTTGAAAGCTCTCTATGATACTTAATCTTCTACAAATCTGTAGACATCATTAAAAAAGCAAGTCTATTTGATATCAAATACTATAGGAAAAAATGGACTAAAACAGCCTAAGGAAATAGTCATCAGAAAATTTCAGTAAACAATGGACTACATACACGATTGTCCTGTGGTAGTATTATTGAGAATTCCAGTCACCTAGTGAGGTGGTCTTCAAGTGTGGCACAGTATACTGCCTGTTGGCAGTGATTCTGTGCTTCTTGTATAGAAGTAGAGAATAGAGTTATGTATACTGCATAATGGTACCATTTTAGGTGTACTATGCTGTACTTTTTATTTTAGAATATAGTCTTTCTGCTTTAAGAGTTTACTTGAGGGGCTGGAGAGATGGCTCAGTGGTTATGAGCACTTGCTGCTCATGCGGAGGGCTTGAGTTCAGTTTCCAGCACCCACACTGGGCCACTCACAACTGCCTGTAACTCCAGTTCTAGAGGATCTAATGCCTTCTGGCTCCACGGGCATCTGCATATACAGGGTGCACATACGTACATCCATGCAAACACATTATACACATAAAATATCATTCACCATCATAAAGAAGACATTTGAGTTCAGTTCCCAGCACCCAGGAGAATCTGATGCCTCTGGCTTCCATGGCACATGCACTCACATACACATACCCACACAGAGACACACACATAAAAAACATTTTTGAAAAATGTTTTGAAGGCCAGGCATGGTGGTGTACACTTTTGATCCCAGCACTCAGGAATCAGAAGCAGGCAGATCTCTGAATTTAAGGCCAGCCTGGTCTACATAGTGAGTTCCAGGACAGCTGGGGCTACAGGGAGACCCAGTCTCAAAAAGAACAAAAATTTTTTTGAAAGGTCTAGGGGTATAACTGAGTGATAGAACACTTGAATAGCATTCATGATGTCCTAGGTTCAATACCCAATACCACAAAAAAGGCGGGTAATTCAGCATAAGAATATTTATTAAGTGAATGGCTTACAATGATATAGAGGAATAAATGTAAATTTTTTCACTCGTAGTGAGCATGGAGCCTTTACATGTATAAATTTTAAATTCAGTTTTAGGTACTGCCTCTTCTGGGTTAGATCATAGTGTGGGAAGCACTGGTGAGGGTTATGTCACCAGAAATTCCCAGTTTGCTGATCTCCCTGAGATTTCTCATCCGATGATTGTACTGCAAAAGGTGAGCATCGTTGACTGCAACCTTGAAGTGGTCAGGTTCAACCAGTACTTGGATCTGAAAAGGCACACAGGCAGACTGTCAGGGAACTGCATGGTGTTAGCTAGCTCTGTTTAGCTCTTCTACCATGTGTATGGTTTTCACAACATGCTGTACGTCACATATATAACTAATTTGTCAATTTCAATGAAAAGAAGGAAAGAAATAGCTACTAATTTTAAACCAGTTTGGCCTGAACTCAGAAAGTTCAACATGTCATCCTTACTAAACTTGTGGAACTGATTAAGATCCAGAGAGGGTAAACTTTACAGCAATAAAACCTAGATTATTTGGGTTTGAACAAAGCAACACAACTGTTAGATAAATAAGGGAAGCCATAAAGGGATAATTTGCCTACACAAAAATGTGGGTCCTGAAGTGCCTTAAAGTAAGAAACAGCAAGGCAGGAATTCCTTAACGGTGACAAATGTAAAGACTAGTAGTGACCAGTTTGGAAAAGCTGGGGGAAATGTATTTGCCAATAGGATATTCATTTTTACATCTTTTTGTAAATGGCAGTTTTGCAATAGCTTATACAAAAACAGCATGCTGTGTTTTAGTTTCTAGAAAAGTATAAGCTCAGGATGGCATCAGTAATGACAATGAGGTGAGGAACTGGGGAGCAAGCCACTCCTGGCCACGCTGCCAGCCCCCTAAACCTGGTCCCCAGGTGAGGAGAACTGGCTAGGTGTTCCAGAACAGGTGATAAAAATTCAAGTGTACTATTTTTAGAGTGATTCCACCTAAGAAATGCATGTTATCAATATACAGCAAGAGCAATAACTTACTTTAAATGGCTTGCCACTTTCAAATGGGAAAGCCGACTGTCTTTCTTCCCTTCCCCAGTTGTTAGCCTGCTTAGTGTTGCACACGATGACTCTCCTGTTGTTCTCATTGAAGCGAGGGTTGAAGTGGAAGGCAACATCATTCCCCGTCTTGAAATCTAGAGCAATCCTATTTTAAAGGAGAAACCACAGTTAACTAAAGTGATTAAAATGTGTATCAAGAACATACAAGTTTCTAAAATGTCATCTTTTCATAATATTCTGAACACGAAGCAAATAAGCCAGAGCATCATTCAAACCAGAAAGAATAACAGGCCTAATACGGTTGTTCCTATCATTAATTCTGAAGCCCAGCAAGACAATATGTTGCTTACTATATTGTTGTGTGACTATATTGTGTACTCATGCAAAACCTTCAAGGTAGCCATATAGAGGGCTACCCACCCTAAGGCATTTTGTGCCTCACTATAAAGAATAATAGCCGGGCGTGGTGGCACACGCCTGTAGTCCCAGCACTTGGGAGGCAGAGGCAGGCGGATCTCTGAGTTCAAGGCCAGCCTGGTCTACATAGTGAGTTCCAGGACAGCTGGGGCTTACAGGCTCTGCTTCAAAAAGACCAAAAAAAAAAAAGAGTAATAGTCTTTTCCTGCCCTAACAGGTTGCTCTCAATAGCTGTTCAAAGCAAGCCCGCTACATGGTAACAGTCAAGTACCTGACTTTCTCTTGGTTCTTTTGGAACAGCAGGAATGAGATGATGTAGTTAAAGTCAGGCAATAAATGTGTTAAGCATTATGTGATCGGAGGTGGGACTCATGAAATGTCACTTCAGCTTTCTGAGCCTCTTCATTCTTCTGGGATGTGAATGCAGGCACAAAGTCCTCTTTGTTAAAGGACTGACCCCACTCCTGGCTTTGTAAAGGTATGTTCCACACAGTACTCTGCCAGAAAGAGCTGATGTTCTTCAGATCTAAATCTACTAATAGTGATCCTCTCAGTATTTTGAATAATCCAGAAACCAGTCACCTCCAACCACCTATGTATCTTCCATTGACTAAAGTCACAGCAAAAGTGGTATTAGTGGTTGTATTTGGCTAAATATCCAGTGGCTCTATTCCCTTTATGAAGAAAGACTGTCATCTTTGTCACTTAAGCATTTTTTTCATGCAGTAACTAGTATAGGGTTTGTAAGGCCACACAACAGTCTTTTCAGTTTACTCTTCATCCGGACAGAATTTGTTTTCATCTGCCAAGTCTCAGTCTATATCAATAGTGTTACTGGAATTAAATTTCCCAGTACAATGACCCTCAATGATTAATGCTAGTGTGCAGTTTTCATTATGTTAGGAGAAAACATAGACTGTATAGACAGGGTATGGTGGTACATGCCTTTAAATCTCAGCACTTGGGAGGCAGAAGCAGACAGATCTCTGTGAGTTCAAGGCCAGCCTGGTGTACATAGTAAGACCCTATCTCAAAAAGCAAAACAAAATAAAAAATACTATATATTTTGAGAATAATATATGTGTGTATATATACATACACACACGTGTGCGGGGGGGAGGATTTACTGTCAGACAAGTTTTATTGTGATGGAATACTGAGCTTAGACCACCTGTCTAGGCTGTGTGGAAAGAAGGGTTGGCCTAGGATAGTGACTGCTATGCAGAACCAGAGGAGGCTGGATGGAGGAGTGAATGTAAAACTATCAAAGCTGTGTCCATCTGTTCACAGAATGTAGCTCCCATTGATTTACCAGGAACAAAATGATAGATGTGTATGAGTGTATTGCCTGCATGTATGTGAGTGCACCCGTGTCGTGCGATGCAGCAGAGGTCAGAAGAGGACTTCAGATTCCCCTGGAACTGGAGTTAAGGACAGTTTGTAGCCGCCATGTGGGTGCTGGGAATCGAAGTTCTCTGCAAGAGCACTCAGTGCTCTTAACTGCTGAGCCATCTTTCCAGCCCCATCTTTAGAGGTATTTATGGATTCCTTTTGGTTTTTTGAGACAGGATCTTGCTATGTAGCCCAGGCTGGCCTCAAACTTAGAATCGTCCTACCTCCACCCCCGACACTACAGCACAGATATGCACCACCATACCTAGTCTCCTTAGGAATTCTATTTTTTTTAGATTTAAAAATTTTTTATTTTACATATATGAGTGTTTTGCCTGCAAGTATGCAAGTGCACCACTCGTGCAGTGCCCACAGAGCCCAGAAGAGGATGGCATATCTCCTGGAACTAGAGTTGCAGACAGTCATGGGCTGCCATGTGGGTGCTGGGAGCTGAACTTAGGTCCTCTGCAAGAGCACTCTTAACCACTGAACCATCTCTCCACACCCTCCTTAGGAATTCTGGGATAACACCTGGCTTGACTTTGTGCCTTTTGAGTACTGTCCATAAGCCCAAGAGACAGACTCAATGGTTATAGGTGCATTGATGGCGCCACTAACCTTAGGGACAGGTGAAGCGAATCCCTCTGAACACTCTCAGCTTCTTTGTATTATGGATAATTCTAACTAGCAATGATCATTGGCTCTAGGCATCCCAGGGCAGCTATAGATCAGCATGGATTTCCTAAATTAGCCCAATACAGCCTCACCCCAACCTGGTCCACCTCAGTCAAACCAGTTCCAGTGGCAAAGGTTGATTTATTTTGATGAAGTCTTTAACTAGTAGAATCTTCTCAAACCCTTTAAGTAAAAAGTATCTACTCAGTTGTAGGCTTCCCACAACTACCATTCACTAGCTGTGAAACCTGAGCCTCGATTTTTTCTGTCAAAGTGGGAAATAATGTTCCTTGCCCTATTTTCACTCCTGTAGATTAAGCAATATAGAACACATCCAAAATATAGACTAGGGTATGTTACCATTCATTGTGAACAACCCTGACACAGAAAAATTATGTGGGACCAAGTATTGATTGTCGGATAAGCCACATTATGGCCTAGCCAAAATTCTAATAAGTAATTTTTAAAATGCTATCAGTCAGACTAGATGATTCTTTATTCCAAAACCAATCAACAGATTCATTAGGTTGTCAGCATCACCCTCTGTACCTGTTTGCGTTGGGTTTCACTGTGCCCAGGATTGTTATCAGCATGCGAGGCATGACTCCTCCAGGCAAGGGCAGATCATAGGGCACACTCTGGAAATGGACAAGAACATGTTATCAATGAAGAGCCATGTGTTCTTGGGAAAAGAAAAATTACATTGCTAACATCCCATCACAATACATAGGCTATCACATAACCGTGGTTGAGGCCACCTGTCTAGATTCCAAGGCCACCTAGCTCAGAGTCTGAAAAGGTAAGGTTCCCTATGTGAACAAATGAGACATGAGAAGAAAAAACTCTTTGGGACATCACAAGAGTCATTTCAACCCATAATTCATTCATATAGACTTCTTTGACAGTCTTAAGCTAGACTTTGTGATCAACATTAATCTTGTGTCACTATTTTAAAGATTTATTTATTTAATTTATGTGTTTGAGTGTTGACCTACACGTATGTATGTACACCTCATGCATGACTAGTGCCAAAGGAGGCCTGAAGAGAGTGTTGGATCTCCTGGATATAGAGCTACTAATGGTTGTGAGCTGCCATGTGGGTGCTGGGAACTGAACAACCACTGAGCCCTCTCTCTGGCCCCTCTTGTGTCTCAAGTCTCTTGTCACATGACATACTGCACTGTAGTTATGCTGTTCCCAGAGGGAAGGTTTGCCACGTTCTGGTGCTTCTGTACTCTGTATCACAGGCAGAACGCTTTGCACGTGGCAAACACTGAGTATACATTGAATGAACACATCTTTTTAAAAAATATTTTATGTGTATGAGTGTATTGCCTGCATGTATGTAAATGTGCCCATGTTATGTAATGCCCAGAGAGGTCAGAAGATGGCGTCAGATCTGGAACTGGAGTTACTGGCAGTTGTTAGCCACCATGTGGGTGATGGGAACTGAACCCAGGTCCTGTGCAAAAGGAGCCAGTGCTCTTAACCACTGAGCTATCTCTCCAGCCCCAAATGAACACATCTTAATACAGTTCATTCCACAAATGTCTGTTGAGCCAAGTGTTTAAGGTACCAGTGAACATCCCCAAAGCTCTATCCTGCCTCATCTCCCCTTTATGATGATTTCTCATAGGTCAAGTATCCCCCAAACTTTCCTTCTCTAGTCCTGATCTGCACTAGTCCTGTAAGTTCTCCTTCTTGGTGTTGCTACTAACGTAGCTGTGGACTGGAAGCAGCTGCTGCTTGAGCAAGTATGAACTGGAGGTGTCTCCCCTGGCCCCTCACCCATCAGCTCCCTTTTTTTGCATCCCCATTAGGGCGAAAGCTTTGTTGCCTTGAAAACCTGGACCTCTTTAACTCATAACACTTAATTACCAGGTCCTCAGGGTTCTTCCTGTCAACCTGACTATCCTTCATGTCCCCTTCTGTCTGCAGTGGACTCACCCCCTGACCTAGCTTCATGCCATCTCCCACTTTTTCTCCGGGCTCCCTTCCAAAGTGTCCCCCAAAGAGACAATACTGCCTTCTGCCATCTTCTCTGTGGTCCTGAAATGGTCTCACCCTAGACTGTTGTTTAACTCTTTCCTCCCAACTAGACTATCAGTCTGGAAGGAAAAGATCCATGAGTGAGGTGCACTTGGGTTTCCTCAGAGTTACATTTTCATTTAGAATTCACTTGCTAAAGTATGTTTAGCCCAGCTGGTCTGGAACTTGCTATAGATAAGGCTGGCCTCAAACTCACAAAGATCTTCCTGCCTCTGCCTCCCAAGCACTGGGATTAAAGGCGTGCACCACCATGCCCGCCTGCTAAAATATGTTTTAATTTGCATGCAGATTTAGTCCTTAGATCCCCAAATGAACTTTTGAAGGTTTTTCAACCAGACTATCTTGGTTCTCCCTCAGTTTGCTCAATGACCTTGGGCAAATTATGTAACTTCTCTATTGTCCCATTTCCTCATGTATAAAATGGGGTTAACAACAGTATCTTCAGGGGCTTAGTGAGAACGTGCATAGATGCGTCCTGCTGATGTGTGCTCGGTACTTATTTACTTCATTATTTAATTATATATTAAGTTTATTTATTCTGAGACAAGGTCTCACTCTGTAGCCCAAGCTGGCCTTGAATTTGTGGCAGTTCTGCCTTACCCTTTTGAATACTGGGATTACAGATTTGAGCCACCTCACCCAGCTAGTGTTTATTAATTAAAACTTAGCTTCATTACTATATTTTTTTTTTTTTTTTTTTGGAGACAGAGTCTCCCTGTAGCCCCAGCTGGCCTTGATCTCACAGAGATCCACCTGCCTCTATCTCTTGAGCGTTAGGATTAAAGGCGTGCACTACCACACCTGGCTCATTACTAAAATCTTAACTTGATTTATATTAAAGCACTTTTATCAATGCCTTATCATTTCTATACTAACAAATCAGAATAAACTCAGCATGAATACACTTGAGAAGTGGCTGTAGCAGGCTTAAAGCAGAGAGTTTCCCTGATGCCCTCCCCTCTGTACATCAAGTTAGTGAAACAAGTACTTGGTCTTACCAGTGGTCCAGCAGGGGTTCCATAGGGGCCAGCAGCAGGGTAGGCTCCAGGGGCACCAGGTTGCCCTGGGAAGGCTCCAGGTGCAGGAGCTCCAGGATAAGCTCCAGGGGCCGTTGGGCCAGGGTAGGCACTAGGAGGCGCCTGCCCAGGATAACCCCCAGGAGGTGCCTGTCCTGGGTAGGCCCCAGGAGGTGCCTGCCCTGGGTAGGCCCCAGGATAGGAGGCCCCTGGATAGCCCCCTGCTCCAGGCTGATTCCCCCATGCACCTGGCCATCCTTGAGAGTTTGGGTTTCCAGAGCCAGCTAAGGCATCATTTAGCTGGAAAGAAAGATATAAACAATTAAGAGAATGGAAACATTCAGAAAACAATTTACAGAACCATAGGCATTTGTGATCTAAGAAGTAAAAAATATAAGCAAGGTATAAAATCCATATAATAATTCTCTAGGTATTCATAGTTTTGAGTTCCAAAGTTTCCAATTAGACTTCGGGATTCCATATGCTGTTTGACTTTATTCTAGCCTCCCATCATCTCAGATCAGGCACGGCTACAGCTCCCTAATGTGCTCAAGTCAGGAACTGGCCAGTTACAAGCATGAACTTTCTAATCTACGTGAGAAAAGGCTACAAATGGGATACTCAGATTGAGTCATGGGTCCTGCATTTCCGCAGGAAAAAGGCCACTGTTGATGAGTACCAGGCCTCTCTGCCTGTGATCTACTGCTGGGAAAACAAGACTCCAGCCCACAGGCCCTGAGAGGACAAGTGAAGCAGAGAAAGCTGTGTGGTGGGAGAACAGAAAAGGAAAGTTTGGTGGTAACAGTGGAACCGTCAACCTGCGTGAATGTGTATGAGGCAAAGAAAACACATGAAACACTTACCGAAAAGCTGTCTGCCATTTTTCTAAGAGGGAACAAGAGAAAGTATATGGTTATTATTTTGAGCTAACCTTCATGAAATTTAGCATCCCAGATAGTTAGTTCATGGACAGTTCCAGTCACTCTACAGGACTGCCTAGTTCAATAGTGCAGAAACATAAGAATATCTCATGGGGGACGAGGGTGTTTCCCAGCTACAGTTCAAAGCCTACTTAACTCATGAAGTCGAACTCTGATCACATGAGCTTGTGTTCTGAAGAATAAAAGACAGTGAGGGAGAAGGAGCAGGATGAAAATTTCTGAACAGTGGTGATGGTTGTAGTGTGTCTGGCCTTCCTTCCTTCTTGGTTTCTCCATCCTGTTCGCTGTGGAACTACAGCCCACATCCCTTCTAAGACACTGGGTGAAAACCATGTATTGGTTTCTACTGAGATCAGAAAGCCTGACCCCAGCTGCTGCCTGGTTACTTATTTCTCTATCAGGAACACTGATGTCTCTCTCAGCCAGACTCAGTGCAGCTGCTGTGTGGGTGTGAAAACCAAGAGGCCACTCTCCATACAGTCAAAGGGCCCCCAGACCAGCAGGGGAGAGGAGAGGAAGGCACAGGGCAGAGTGAGCAGTGCTGCTAGATGGTGCTGGGAGATTCAAATCTGGAAGCTTACTTCTGGGATAGGAGGGGAAGGTGGTTTGGACCAAAGCCTTAAAGGACAGGTGACATTTGGGAGTGCTTGTTTGGGTTTAGGTTTTTATTTATTTCTTAGAAAGGTCTTGCTATGTAGCCCATCCTGGCCTTGAATCAGTGATCCTCCTGCCTTGGCCTCCCAAGAGCTGGCTGTGGTGTGCACCACTATGCTATTTTCTTTTTTAAGGTATTATTCCAAAAAACTTTTAGCAGTAAAATTAACCAGCAAAGGTGAAACAGATGGCAATGTAAAGGAAAGTATTTCGGGTCAGGGTACTTTCAAACTGGTTTGTTTGGTACAAAACAGCCACAGGGCTGGTTTGGAGACTTTTGTCCTGCTTCCTCCTGCCTTTGCCGGTGCCACACCTCTTAAAGCACAAGATGCCTGTCATTTGCTCCTATTCCAACTGCTCCCTCAAAGAGCAGCAGGGGGCAGCTTTGGTTTCGAAACTCCATTTTTTTTCCCCTTACGGTGCTGGGGATTGAACCCCATGAGCATTCTTGGCAAACACTCTTAGCATTGAGAAACACACCCCAACCACCCCAGGGCAGCTGTGTACTACTGCAGCAGGGGTGGGTTTGTTCTAAGTTCAGAATCACCTACCCTCACCCCAAAATGCCCTGGACCTGGAGACAGAATCCCTTCTGGCTTGATTTGGCCACTTATGATATTTTAATCAGTCATTCTAAGAAATACCATCACTACTGGTGCGTGGTGGCACATGCCTAGAATCCCAGCACTCTGACACAAGGACTGCCAAGAGTTTGAGGCCATCCTGGGCTACATACTGAGTTCCAGGGTCTCATTCTGTAGCCCAGGCTGGCCTTGAACTCTAATGACAATCCTCCTGGCACAGTCTCTAAAGTACTGGGATTAAAGGCATGAGCCACCATTGCCTGCTTAAGAAATTTCTTTTTCTTTTTTTAAGATTTTATTTATTTTTATTTTATGTGTATGTTTTGCCTGCATGTATGTAAGTGTACCTACCACATGTGTGTCTGGTGCCTGTGGAAGCTAAAAGAGGGCAGGCAGATCTCCTGGAAGTGGAGTTAGGGATGAGTGTTAGCTGCCATGTAGGTGCTGGGAATGGAACCCAGGTCCTCTGGAAGAGCAATAAGTGTCTTAAACACTGAGCCATCTCTCTAGTCCAGGAAATTTCTTAAGAAAATAAAACCACTGATTTTAGAGACTGTTAGGAAACAATCTTGAACCTCAAGTTGGACCTAGAGCTTAGCACCTTTGGTTAGACTCTTTTTCCCACCCCTGAGAAAAATAACAAAGACAGCAATAACTTTTGTCGGCACCTTGACTTCTTTTTAACGTCCCCACAGCACAGGAGCTTATTCTCAACTTCAGCACCCTGTCACTCAGACAGGATGAGTTGTGGCAGGGCTTTGCCCTGTATTCTCTTGAGTGGTTTATCAACATTTCTGGCTTCAAGCCATTAGATGTTTTAGCACACTGCTCTATAACTGGTGACAACCCAAAATGTCTTCAGACATGGCCACATGTTCCCTACAGGCCAAACCAAATATGGTTGAGAACCACCATAGAGGCTGTTAATGTCTATCCCTTCATGAATGTATATACACAGGGCAATAAGAACTTCAAAGGAGGGGCTAGAGAGATGCCTCAGTGGTTAAGAGCTCTGGCTGCTCTTCCAGAGGACCTGGGTTTGAGTCCCAGCACCCATATCTCAGCTAACAATCATCCATAACTCCAGTTCCAAGGGATCCAATGCCCTCTTCTGGCCTCAGTGGGCCTCGTATGATATGGGTGCACTTATATACATGCAGGCAATACACTCATACACATAAAATAAAATATTTTTAAACCTACAAGGAGTTTTGTTAAAACTAGCCAGCTTCCACAGGGGTGGGTACAACAGACCAGTAACTCCAGCACTCAGAAAGCTCACAGGAGGATCACAAGTATGAAGTCCGTCTGAGCTACATAGGGAGACCCTGTATCAAAACAAACAAGACCAGGGATGTGGTGGCACACATTTGTAATCCCAGCACTCAAGAAGTACAGCAGGAGGACCACTGTAAGTATGAGGTCAACCTGGCTTACATAATGAGTTTCAGATCAGCCAGGGCTACATAGAAAGACTTTATCACAAACACACATTCGCACGCACGCACAAAAACTAACTCTGTACCATTTGCTTCATAAAGAACCTTACTAATGCAGAACACCAGTCACATATGGCCAAAGAATACTACTAGAAACTCAAGGGGAACATTCCATACTGAACTTGGTTTTCGCCAAAGCCTCTGATAGGGATGTTAGTTCATTTTCCCATCTGACCAAGTGCAGTTTTAGAAATAGTGGATTACATCATGATGCCCAGACTTGGGTAACAGTTTGGACTGTGCCATGACACATTCCACAGGGCATTAGAATAATGGTGCCCTGCGTTTGTGTGGTGATTTTCAGTTTCCAAAGAACTTTCAGAGATCTGCTTTGATTTTATTAGCAATCTTATGAGAGTGACAGAAAATATTCCCCCTGTAAAGTGAGGAGACTGAGGCTCAGAGAACTAATGTGTGGCCCGCAATCATCTCACTGGCAATTGGGGGACAAAGTTGCAAGTCTCCTGACTCCTAATTCAAGCTCATTCTATAATAATTTAAAACTTTACATTTTGACATTTTAAAATACAGTCCTTTGAAACTAATGATTTCACTGAAGAAAAAAAAAAAAAAAACAATATCCGGCTTGCTCCTCCAGAACTACACAGCATGCTGAAATCATAAACAAATTGAAAATTAAGATTGTATTTTGAGCTGGGTGTGGTGGTGCACACCTTTAGTCCCAGCACTGGAGGCAAAGGCAGGTGGATCTCTGAGTTCAAGTGAGTTCCAGGCCAGCTGGGGCTACAGGGAAACCCTGTCTCAAAAAGACAAAAAAAGAAAAAAAAAATCATATTTTGGTCAGAACATTAACTGGGTGACTCATTCAGCACACATAAATAATACAGAATGCCATTGTGCAAAGTCACTTTGCTAATCAGAACCACATTTTAACCAATAAATTATATTTTTCCAAAAAACAGTATGCACTGTTTCGATTTGTCAGCTCTCAACTATCAGATTTTTTTAAAACTGAAATGGGGTGTGTGTGTGTGTGTGTGTGTGTGTGTGTGTGTGTGTGT